CACTTCTGATGCCGGCCCAAGGCCTAGGCGACAGGCCCGGCCCAACAAGCAGTATGTTGGCCCCGAGTGGGATGTGTAGCTATAAACCGGTGGCGTGCGTCGTGAGTTGTATCGAAGAACACAAACTCAAAACTGAATCCCAACAAACATATCTCGCTATTGTTCTTCTTCTACCTCCGACTTCGACCGGCTTCTCCTTCCCTTCCCCTCTCCTGGTGCTAACACGATATATACAATATTTAGTCATGCATGCATGGGCGTGTATTTAACCTTGTCCGCTGGTAACTACTGGCTGTCACTGTGCTTCACGTCAATCAGACGGAATGGTCACCGTCGTCATTGCCTCGTCGTCGCCGACGACGAACTATTCGTCCATCCGGAGGTAGTGGTTCTGCACGCATGGACGGCTGGCTAGCTAGCTCGCTCGGTCAGCTGACGCTTCTAGCGTGCTTTCATTTAATACGAGAAGCTAGATATTGCTTGAGCAATCACTTGCGTGATCCTGATTAGGACGTGGCTCCTTCTCAAACCACATGACTCCAAGATGTCTACCAACTAGAAATCATCCATAATTGCCCAAGGTATCAATGTACCATTTCGTCCAACAAGGAGGAGTGGTGATCCATTGCCTTGCTTGGCCGGCTGGTCCTGGCTAGATGGTTTTATAACGCACATGGGAGTCGCCACCACTTTGAATTCTAGAAGTGAATGCATTTTAGTGTAAACTTACCTTACCTTAGGTATGTACTCCCCCTCAATTCCAAATTGTAAGTTATCCTGGCTTTTCTATATACACAACTTTTACTATGCATCTAAATATACATTATGTCTACGTAGTACAATCAACATATCTAGAAAAGTCAGAACGACTTACAATTTTCTTTACTTGGATATATAAGCACAAAGAGTTTGAGAACTTGACAGTTATTTTGGGGGAACTGAGTTTTTTTATGGGGGTGACTACAAAGAGCAACTCCAACAATAGCTCTCGAATTAGGGTCCCTACTTTTCATTTAACGGCCCCCTTTATTTTTAGGGTCTGTTTTCTTTACATACTCTAGCACGAGCCCTCAAATCAAGCCCCTCAAATCTATTTCAGTAGACATTGACTTATAGGACTTTTGGGGGTCTGTTTTCTTTACATATACTCTAGCACGAGCCCTCAAATCAAGCCCCTCAAATCTATTTCAGTAGACATTGACTTATAGGACCTACTCGTCATCTAGTCATATCCACTGTTGTTATATATAATCGACTGAGCTATGCTGGCACCGGAGAGGAGGAGAAGAGCACTCGAGATGGCACGGTAGGGTGAGGAGCACCAGGCGCGGGGAGGGGAGCCACGGCGGGGTTAAGTGCCTCACCGCGTGGAGAGGAACCGTATCGAATGGGCCTCGCCGGGCCGGGACGTGCACCGAGGAGGGGAGCTGCACCGGTCCAAGAGGCTTGGCCGGGGGAGCTGCGTTGAGAGAGGGGGATAGGGCAGCGACGCGAGAGAGAGTCAACGAAAAAAGACCCTGTAGGAGTGAGTTTGTTTGAGGAAAATTTTCCTGAAAGAAGTAGGATACATATCATTGGGAGATGGGGCGGAAGGAGAGATTTATTTAGAGGTCTCCATAAAATAGGAATTTTTGTTGAGGCTGTTGGGTAAAGTTTTTTTCTGGCGCTAAAAAAATAGTACAAGGCCCTATTTAAGGTCCCTATTAAAGATGCTCCCAGATCGATCGGAGTAGCTATTTGTTGTCACCTGCATATTATAAACAACAACAAAAGAAAAAGGAAAGAAAGAAAAGAAGATTCAAGCCAAGGGTTCAAAAATGGTCGGAGCATGGCATATTTTGTCAACTTTTATAATATAACACCAGCATCATCCTTCTGATTACTAGAAATGTGTGTGACTACTACTTAAAGGCAGCGACATTGGATATCGTTGCATCATGGGTACGATACATTTATATATTAGAGCATGTTTCGATACATAACCTAGATAATTACTCTCTCCGTTCTAAATTATAAATTATTTTGATTTTTTTACATCAAGTTTACTATATATCTAGATATAATAATACGCATATATACATAGCAAAATGGATGAACTAAAAAAAAGTCAAAACAACTTATAATTTGGAACGGATAGAGTAACAAATTAGGTCTAGTACACCCAAACATGAGAGCTAATATATGAGCTAATTTTAGCCAAGTTTTCAACTGGTTGTTAGCCAACTAGCTAGCTAACTCTACCTAGTTAGGTAAAATTTTTAGCACTAACTAGTAACTACTCCCTCTATTTTAAATTGTAAGTCATTTTAACTTTTCTAGATTCATGCTTTGATTATGTATCTAGACACAAGTGTATATCTAGATGTATAGTAAAGACACTGCACCTAGAAACGCCAAAACGACGCCAAAACGACTTACAATTTGAAATGGACGTGTATTAACATATGTACATGGGACCCACCGCTCAAGAACTAAGCCACACTGGGGGATTCACCCTATATGGCATGTGTGAGTCGGACATATATACAGTGGGCCAAGACCTGTTTGGATCTGAATAATGACAGCATGCAATAAGTAACGAGACCTGGATGATATCTCTAAATAAGCGTGAGACCTACTGAAACTAGCATTATCAAATTAAAGTTTGAGACCTAAATAACATATCTCAATAAGCCTGAGAACATGAAAACGTAATTTGGCAGTCGAAGGAACTGAAATGTTACCTGAAGACAAGTTCATCACCGCTCTTTTTTTTTTGGTACCGTAAAGCATTACGCTCATCTAACTGTTCGTTATTAGTGTCCGCATGAACTAACCGCGCACCTTGGATTATGGTTTAATTTCTGGATGAACCACGCACCTTAACTGGCTTAAATTAGGTTGGACAGGTGACGTGGAAGAATTAGATGTTCTCGTACGAAGCAAGATTCATCTGAAGTAACTTTGATGGAGTCTCTGTCACCTTTTGATTCTCACTGCCTATTCGATCGTTCTTGGAGCCTGACACGATCGTTGGTTAAACAAAAAAAACTCTGTCGTGTGCCACCAAGTACTGTATTAGATTTACCTGTCGGTGGTATGATACCCTGATCTGAACTGTCAACGCGCGATTTCCACGATGGCGCGTCACCCGTCCTAAAGTGGATCGTCCTACGTGGCGACCAAGCGGCACGAGCACTTGTACCGCCCTGACCCATCATCCATTAGACTAATCCGCCTCATCTCGAGCCGTCCAAGCTAGTGGCCGCAGGATTACTAGCTAGTGGATTAGCGGCAGTCCGTGAAAAATAATCAAACGGTGACGAGATGGGTGGACTGGTGACACGGGCCGGCCGCTCTGATTCGGCCACGTGGGATGTGGGGCTGGACGGTTGCTGGGCCCCGTCGGTGACATCGGCGTCCCGTCCATCTGTTGCTTTCTCGCCCGGAACGCCAAAGCGAAGCTTGCCCGCTTTGGTATGGCTACCCAGAGGAGCACGAGTGTGCGTTCCTCATTCACACTCTGACACACGCGCACACACAAAAAAAAAAGAGAGTGTGTTCCTCAACACACGCAGGAATTTTGCTCCGAGTTTTGGTTTTGGAGGATTCTACGGGAATCTGGTGCTGCGTCTAATTGCAAGTATATTGCTACACGTAAATAGTATCATGAGACAATTCATACAAGAAAAAAACAAACAAAAAGTTTTTCGTAGACTCTCTGCAATCTCTATCTTCTTGGCTCTTCAAAACTTCTTTACTCGCTCTCGATTATTGGAGAGGCTGCATCGATAGTACTCTCATATTTTTTTTGGCACAAGAAAATTGCGATGAGATATTGGAGTATAGAGAACAAAAAATTAGAGAGTCTGTCGGAAACAAGAGTATATAAAGAAAATATTCATGTAAGGGCTCTCGCAATGTTTGGCAGTGTTTGGACTCCTCCAAAAATAGCTCCAGCTTTAGATCCTTCATAGAAGTGGCTTCTATGGTGGAGAAAAAAGTCGAAATTACTCTCCCTAAATTTGGCCTATGTTCAAATAATCCCACAAACTAACATTTGGTTCAATTTAGTCCCTCCAACTATTCCAGTCTGTCCAATTTACACCTTAAAAAATTCTTTTTTGTTTCTCTATGTATAAATTGTGTTTTAGTTTCAAATTTAGAAAAAAAAATATCTTAATTTTTATCCACTATTTTGTTAGCTTAGGAAATTTAATAATAAATTAACACTAGAGATACATGTTCCCTTCTAAGAATGTGTGCCGTCATGTCGTTGTGAGTTAGAAATGGATGTATAACTAATTCAATTTATTTAACGTATTTCCTCTTTCCCAAAATAAATTCACATCTAGCACTATAAGGAGTCAACAAATTTTAAGTTTAACCAAATAATACAAAAATCATTAATGTTTATGATTCCAAATAAACATCATTAAATGAATCACATCATATATTTTCATAGTAAATCTATTTAAAGATATAAATATTTTAAAAAAAATTTAGTTAAACTTGAGAATATTTGACTTCTCGAAATGTGAGATATGCACTTATTTTGGGATCGAGGGAGTAAATATAAGGAGATGCACTGCAATGCAATAACATTTCAAAAAGAAAAATACTCAGATTCACTAGGGAGGCATCATGGGGCATGTCCTTGGTGCACATTGCGCAACTGCACAAGTGGAGTGGATGGGGAACCCAAAAAAAAACGCAGAGAAGAGGAGCGAGCACGACTGCTGCAGCCTGCAGGAGCTATAAATACGATGGGGTCACCGTTTCCCAATCCCCTTCCCCGCCTCCCCTCCACGGCTCCACCTCCGACTCCGACCCGCCCGGCGCGCGGCGCGGCAGATTCCCTGCCCTGTGTTCCATTCCATTCCAGAGATCAACTGATCGACCATTCCAGAGATTCCTTGCCCTGTATTCCAACCGTCTGACGGAAGTATCGAGGTCCAGGAATCCCGGCGGGCGAGGTGTCCGCGGAGGCGGCTCCGTCCGATCCCGACCGGCCGCCGGACATGGTGAGCCGCGGCGGCGCGCGCGGGCTGCTGGGCGCGTACGAGCTGGGGCGGACGCTCGGGGAGGGCAACTTCGGGAAGGTGAAGCAGGCGCGGCACCGAGGCAGCGGCGCGCAGTTCGCCGTCAAGATCCTGGACCGCGCCCGCGTCGTGTCGCAGCGCGCCGACGACCAGATACGCCGCGAGATCGCCACGCTCAAGCTGCTCGCGCACCCCAACGTCGTCCGCCTCCACGAGGTCCGTCCGTCCGTCACACACCACCCCCTCCCCTGCCTGCTCAGCTCGTCGATTCGGGTTTTTCTCCGTCTCTAGATGATTCGGTTCAGTTCCGACTTCCGAGCCGAGCGTTTCGTTTCTCCGGCCGGGAAGAAATGGGATTTTCTTCCAGAAGCTACTACTCCGTATTTACTATTTCAAATCGATAGTATGCCCTTGTTTAGTTCGCGAAATTTGGATTTTGGGTCTACTGTAGCACCTTCGTTTTTATTTGGCAAATAGTGTCCAAACATTGACTAATTAGGCTTAAAACGTTCGTCTCGTAATTTCCCACCAAACTGTGCAATTAGTTTTTCTTTTCGTCTACATTTAATGCTCCATGCATGGACCGCAAACATTCGATGTGACAGGTACTGTAGCTACTTTTTGGAATTTGGGTAGCAACTAAACAAGGGCTATATATCCTGCGCGCGTAATTTGCAGCCGCATTAATTACTTGCAAGGGTAACATAGATTTGTTGCGTGTTCAAACCAAGTACTACTTCACCATTTCTAGATTCCCTTCTCCAAATTCCACCCATTTCTATCCCGGTTCGATCGATTTGAATAAGTAATAAAAGTGCCTGTTCGCCGTGATTCCTTGATTTTTTTTTTGAAAGGATGATTCCTTGATTTGCCTCACCCCGTTCGCTCTGATCATTTACGTGACGCTGTTTTAATATAAAAGAAAAATATTATAAATATGTCTCGTATGATCAAGCGATATGGGTGCTAATACACAGCTGCTGCAACTTGGCCACTGGCCGCTGCCCCCTTTCTCTATTGGCTCGCTTGTCTTCTTCATCTACGTCTACCGCACGTGCACGGTGCACCCACCCTCTCACGCACCATTTTCACCGCTAGGGATTTTTGGAACGTGAAAATTGTACTGAAATTTCATGAAAATCTGTTTATATTCAAGGTAAAACGTAGGGGATATGAAAAACCACGCATTCCAAAGTGGGCCTAACTTACCTGCACGATTTTATATTTTACTTGGGCTTTATCATGTAGGAATAGGATTGTAATCAGTTTTTTTATGAAATATACTGTAGTTCCCATTACAATTGTAATTTTCCTCTGATTTTATTTAGTAATACAAATACGTGCTCGAGATGCCTCGTCCTCGCCTGTACTTAGGTGGTGTTTGGTTGCCTCTCCTAAGTTTTAGTCGATGTCTCATCGAATGTCTAAACATATGCATGGAGTATTAAGGCTCCGTTTGGTACGGCTCCACTTCACCCATGAAGTTCTTTTTTGGGGCTTCAGCTCCATGAACAGCTCTATGGGTGGAGCTGTAGCCGTTTTGATAAATCGTTTGGCAAAACAACTTCACATATAGTTTTTCTTAAAATATGCTCTTAGAGAACGCCATGTAGAATGAGGTGAAGCCGAGAGAAGCCACTATTTTTTGCTCCTTCCCACCCCAAAGCTCTGTGAGAGCACGTTTTTAGGGGCTTCATCGGTGGAGCCGTTTTATTTTACCCCGTTTGGCAGAAAACTGCTCCAAGCGGCTCCTGAAGCCGCTAGAGAAGCCCTGCCAAACGGAGCCTAAATATAGACTAATTACGAAACTAATTGCATAGTTTGCGACTAATTCGTGAGACGAATCTTTTAAGTCTAATTAGTCCATGATTTGACAATGTGGTGCTACAGTAAATATGTGCTAATGACGGATTAATTAGTCTTAAAAAATTCGTCTCGTGGAGTACTGACGGATTATGTAATTTGTTTTTTTATTAGTATCCGAACACCACATACAATATCCTCCCGACACACCTCCTAAATTTTCATCACTAGATCCAAACACCACCTTACTAATTGATACTACAGCCTGTACACTTTACTTAAAAAAATGGTAGATCTCGAGAGTGATAAATAAATTAAGATTTACAGATATTTTAGTACATCAATTTAAACTAAAAATTTCGATGCCTTTCTCTCCATCTCAAAATAACTACACGATTTTTTAAAATTTAACTCGTATACAATGAAATATTATCAATATTTATATTTATAAATAAATTTATTATTAGAACATATCTTATAATTAATCTAATGATACTTATTAATATTAACTATTAGTATTTTTATATTTTTTATTAAACTTAGAAATATTTGTACTAACTACTTTAGTACAGTACTCTCTCCGTCCACGAAAGAACATAATTCTCGAATTTTAAGGAATCAAACGGTAAATTTTGATTAAAATTATATAAAAATATACTAACACTAATGAAACAAAATAAGTATCGATAGATTAGTTATAGAATATATTTTTATAGTAAATTTATTTAGAGATATAAATGCTAATACTTTTTGCTAAAAACTAGTATGACCGGTATATATCCTATAATTATATTCTTTCGAGATGAGTATTTTGGAACGAGCGAGTAGTAGTCAATACTACTGGTATATTCTCCCTACCCATGGGCCCATACGGCCATACCCATGCACACGACAGAGACAGGCTCGTGGGTCCGCCTCGGCCTAGCCCATATATAGCGAGTAAAGAAGTCGAGCTGGTGGACACGGTGCTCCATGTCGCGCTGCTCCGGGTCCACCAATTATTGGCACGACCCAAGTACCCACTACCCATTAACTCCGGCCGTTTCTTCATCTTTGTTGGTTTCTAGAAAGGATGCATCGCGTTCGACTGGTACACTCACAGCTGGTCAACTGTTTCAGCTTATTCTCTCTCACATAATACTATTTAATTATCTAAAATCATCCAAAAAAATCACTATTGAATGCACCAGCCGAACACAGGACATCTTTTCAGAAAGTATCCGGCTTGCAAGTTGCACCGAATGTAGTATCTGGGTTTGGGGCCTTCGTCTTTGATCCGTCTTGCAACGCCGTAGCTTGCATGCCATGGGTTGCTACCGGTGATCTGACATTCAGTGCCATTAAATGGTTGGCTGGTTCGTATTGTTGTTGGTTTATTTATATGAGATTTATATGAGAGAGAATTACTGCTGGCAGGTTCATGTAAATAGTGCCCATGTGAGGAGGCTAGTCAGCCAGCCCAGCTAGCCAGCCCCAGTCGGACGGAAGTGGGAAATAATCCTGTAGTGGGAAAGAATCCTGTAGTTTTCCAAAGGGATTTCCCAATCCGTGACCTCATTTTTCTTTCCTCCGGAAGTGGGAAAGAATCCTGTAGTTTTCCAAAGGGATTTCCCAATCCGTGACCTCATTTTTCTTTCCTCCGGAAGTGGGAAAGAATCCTGTAGTTTTCCAAAGGGATTTCCTGACGCGCATGCCTTTAGAGCCCAACCTGTTAATCTATGATATGGTGACGTTCCTGATCATGTATTTACTACTACCTCCTGATTCAGATCGCTGCTAGCAAGACCAAGATTTACATGGTGCTTGAGCTCGTCAATGGGGGCGAACTGTTCGACAGGATTGTAAGCCCACGAATGAAACTCTCTCTATTCTTCCCATCTATGCGTTCTACCTCCCGTGTTCAGGATAGATTCCTTTTCCCATGCTGTTACTTCTATAATAGGCATCTGAATCCCCCTGTTGCTTTCTTTGCTGCAACTGAACAGGCCAGCAAGGGAAAACTACCGGAGCAAGAAGCAAGGAGGCTCTTTCAGCAGCTGATTGATGGTGTCGGCTATTGCCACGAAAAGGGCGTCTATCATAGAGACCTCAAGGTGCCAGATGTTTCTCATTCTGTTCCCGTGATGTCACTCCTATCAATTCTGTTTTGTTATTCTGTGGCCCTGTTTTTTTCTAACCCGCTCCAATGTTACAGCCGGAGAACGTTCTTGTTGACCGAAAAGGAAACATCAAGATCTCTGATTTTGGTCTAAGTGCTTTACCGCAACATCTCGGGGTATATGATGGAATAGTTCTTTAAACTGAGCTCTCTCAAATGATTTCCAAAGTTGATCACTCATCGAATTGCATGATATGTTACTTTCAGAATGATGGATTGCTGCATACAACCTGTGGTAGCCCCAATTACATTGCCCCTGAGGTGAAAAGCCTGACTACTCCCAGACGAAACAGTTCCTGTTGTGCAGTTGCTAACTTCATGTGCCAAATGCCTGCAGGTTCTGCAGAACAGAGGATACGATGGATCATTATCGGATATCTGGTCTTGTGGAGTGATTCTTTATATAATGCTCGTAGGTTATCTTCCGTTTGATGACCGAAACATTGTTGTTCTTTATCAGAAGGTACTCATTCAGATAAAAGTGAAGTGATCTTTATAGTTCAGTTCCAGTACTTCTCTAACACCATTTTAACTTTTCTACTTTTACCTTGCCGGGTCTAGATTTTTAAGGGTGATACTCAGATCCCAGAGTGGCTTTCTCCTGGTGTACAAAATCTTCTTCGGAGGATTCTTGAACCCAACCCGATGAAGCGGATCACCATGGCAGAGATCAAGGCATACTGAATGGTTTCAGGAGGACTATGTCCCTGCTCTTCCGTACGACAACGATGATGAAGATTCAGAGCTTTATATAGCTCATCAGGTCAAAGAGGTACATACATATGGACAAACTGCCTGAAAAGTAGTAGTATGTATGTCGTGAAAGTAAACACCCATCATTCATATTTGGTTTCCCTTTTTTTCCACCTGAAGCAAATCAGTGAACCACCTGAAGATAAAACTACTCATCAGATCAACGCGTTTCAGTTGATTGGAATGGCATCATCCCTAGATCTTTCAGGTTTTTTTGAGGAAGAGGTATGGGAAACATCTTGGAAATTTCTTTCCAGCACAGTGATTGCCTTGCTCAAAACAATTTAAGGCAAAAAAAGAAGTTTCGTCATCACAACTGCAGTAATGATCTACACACTGAATTCTACCTCATGAGCTCAGAGTAATTTTTTTTTAAACTTGCTGCAGGACGTGTCCCAAAGGAAGATCAGGTTCACATCAACACACCCACCTGAGGATTTGTTTGACAAGATCGAAAATTCTGCAAGTGAAATGGGCTTCCATGTTCACAGAGGCCACAGTAAGGTCAGTACAGTGTACAGACTTTCCATCAACCACAACACTATACACATACTGACATTACATTCAACGTTGATGTGTGTGATTTTTCAGCTTAAGATGACGCAAAACTGCAACGGATCAGTGAATCAAAAGAATCCTGTTCCTGTGTCGTTTCTAGTCTGGACTGAGGTAAAATGCAACAGACTGCACTCCTGTTGTCAGGAAAAGTCTCTGACAGGTCGGCTAACAATGAAATGTTGTGCTATCTGTGATCCCAGGTATTTGAGCTTAGCCCCTCTTTGTACGTCGTAGAGCTCAAGAAGTCCCATGGTGATCCTGCATTGTACAGACAGGTAAAAACAGCTGCACTTGTCACTTTCATGGCTTCATAACCGAACAAACATCAACAGTTCAAGTGACTAAGTGACCCTGCTTCTTGAAATGTGTCTGCAGTTCTGTGAGAGGATCTGCAGTGACCTGGGTGTGCTCAAGATGGATCAGATCTTTGGGACGAGACCGATCGCCGATGATCTTGCAAGCTTGGACAAACGATCTGTGACACCTTTGGTTGCATTGTGACGAAGGCTGCCCCCCTGACGTGATGTAGCGTGAGATTTAGTGAAGACGAAGCAGTTCAGCTGCAACGCAGCTAGGAACGATTGTATTGTAAGTAGGATCATAATCCACCAGAAATAGAGGAGAAGATAAAAGAGTAGGATCATACTCCAATGTAAATAAAGTAGTAGTCACCGATGTAAAACAGAATGTAAATTCTAAGAAATAAATTGTTTTCGGTGGCATACACAATCTCCACATTCACTAATTACCGGTGGCTCATTTCTTTTTAACGTGGATGCAATGTACGTACTTCCTGTCTTCCAAATTATAAGATGTTCTGTCTTTTCTGGATACATAGTTTTTACTACGCACCTAGTAGATATATATTTTATTTAGATACATAGTATTATGTATCTAAAAAAGTCAGAACATATTATGATTTGAAACAGGGGGAGTATTTCATCAAGATGGAATACAAAAATAAAATTAACTTAACGTATTTCATTAATAATGAATGGTGGTGGGTGCACACCTCACAAAAACTGTCTTTAGGACTCCTTTGGATGGTAGGATTCTCAATAGGATTTTGGAGAATTCTAACCCTTAGGAAATTTTCCCTTAAATGAAGAGCCCTTTCGAACAAATGAGCATGGTTGTTAAATTCCTATGAATTTTCTATTTAGTGACTTGTTTAATACGAATTTTAGAGGATTCCTAACAGGATGCCCAACCTCTTGGGAACTTCCCATTGTGTCTATCTCTTGCCAACCCTATATTAGGTATAGTTTTCTTGTGCTTTTCCATTTGCATTAGATCCAATACTATTTTTCCTATCTATGTGTTTTTGAGAATCATAGGTTCTAAAGAAATCCTTGTATGAAAAAGTATATTTTGTTACCCGAATAATCTCTTTGTCCGTAGATGTTACCAGTTCATAGCAGTCCTGTGTTTTTCTTATTAACTTGTTCTAAGAATCATTTGTTCAAAAAACCTTATCTAAAATAGATGAATTAAAATTTTAACACCCCAATAATATCTTAGCTTGTTTCACCGTGAACAAAATTTGGACTCAATTTTACTCCCCTTAATTATTTAAATCAGTCTTTAAGAAATTTTCATGCGCTCGTACCTTAGTGTGAAACTAGCATAGAAGTGCTCCTAACATATGAAAATATACAAAAAAAAACATGCTATATTTTTGTAGTAATGACAACATGCCATCTCATGAATCACAGTGAACCGAGCCCTAACTCATTAGTTAGGTTCCTTGTATTGGAACACCCCACTCGGGTAAGTCATTGACTTGCACGAGTGCTCGATTTTCTATTTTAGAATTTAATGGCTATTTGTGCTTTTCGAAGGAAAGCGGCGTTTTAAATCGATAGCGATCTTGGCGTGTGGTGATTTCGTCAATCTCGAGATGTGTCGACACAATATTTCGGAGGTGCTCATAGGGGTAGAATTTGCATACGTGTGTTCATAGAGGTGAGTGTGCGTGCGTGTTGAGCATCTGCATCTGTACTTGTGTAATTAAAAAAAATGCTCTCTACCATCCTAAAAAATTGAACTTAAATTTCAACTATACGAGGAGAAACAAAAACAAAACAGAAAATTTTCTTTGAAGACATTAGATTAGTTCAAATAATTGGGTAAAATGATCCAAAGTTTTGTTAGTGTCAAACCCCAAATTATATTATTTGGATTATAAAATGAATGTTTTACCGTTTTAATAACAAAAACCATGACCAACAGTAGAAATACCAACAGAAGGCGGAATGTGAGAAGTTCGTAAACATCAGGTAAGAGGCGCTTTCTAGCGCTTTACTCAAACGGCCGGACCCGAAGGCAACTAAGCACTGGTTGTCACACTTCCGCCGCCGCCTGCCCCCGTCGCCGCGATGCAGCATCACCTACGCCAATGCGGCGGCGGCGCCCTCGCCGCTCTGCGACGGCTCTGCCACAACGCTTCCTCTGCCGCAGCGTCGCCTCCTGCGGCCTGGAGGCGCCCCTGCCCTCCTCTCCGGCTATACTCCACCGCCGGTGAGCACCTCACCTCTCCCTCCTTGCTTTATCCCCTCTTTCAGCTTCGAGTTCGGGGGCGATAGTATGATAGCGCTGTTTATCACTTGATAACTTGGCTATTTTTTTTAAAAATGCTGCAAGAAGAGCAGAACGCTCTGGAAATCTTGTTTCAGTCCCCTTGTTTTTTTGCATCAGAGATGAGCCAGCAGTTGCCTGCGAACCTAGTGGGGATCATGGAGCAGAGAATGAAGTTGATCGAGCAGAGGAGCGCATACCTCCAGGAGCAAATTAACCAGGTAATTTCAGATGGGCAAAGCTTCTCTTTGAGAGTGGCATGGTTTACCATTGTGTAAGAATTAAGATAGCCTTGCTGCAATATCCTTGATGTGAGTTGGTGTTAATGAAGACAGCCAGCCGCCTCGCCCGAAGAGTACTCGAGGGCTAACAAGGAGTTCCGCAAGCTGGAGAGCACCATGGAGTTGATCAAGGAGCTGAGATCGAAACAGGAGGTTGTAATCTTGTTACATTTTTGCAAGACACAACCTATTGTATGAACTATCAAGGATTTAGAGGAGTCTATATGTTTGTATTGTAGGAAATTGAGGGTCTCAAATCTTTGGTAACAAATGCTCGTGAACAGAAAGACATGCGTGAGATGGCAGCAGATGAAAGGGATTGTATATTGGAGGTGCGGGCAGGTAAACCAGATCTTGCCGTTGCACACACATGAGCACAATTCACCTTCCAGTTTTACTCTGTTATTGGGCAACAAGTGATTGACCGTGGTGTCGTATTTGCAGGAACTGGAGGAGAAGAGGCATCTTTGTTTGCAATGGATATATTTAGAATGTTGGTTATCTTGCTCGGCAGCAAGTGTATGTGATCCTCAGTCAGTGTTGCTAAACTCGATTCTTCTATGTTATAGGTACGAGAAATATGCTCAGAAGAATGGGTGGAAATTTGATGTCATTGACATAATGGAGTCTGCTGTGAAAGGATACAAGGTACAACCTTTGTTTGGATATATGCACATGGTTTTTCATTGTAGCCAAGATATTGTCACTATTTTAAGATTTGGAAGCTCAGAAACTCTTAATTCATATTTTCCTATTATTATTCATTTGTATGAAGGAAGCTAGTGGAACTATATCAGGATCCTGGGGCGTTTGGCAAACTAAAGTTTGAGAGTGGTTGTCGGTGTTTCGAGTTACCACCGACGAGTAAATTTCTAATATTGCGCGTCTGGCTCGGATGGTGTGCTTAGAGGACACGAGATTTATACTGGTTCGGGCAGAAAGTCCCTACGTCCAGTTCGTCGCTGCTGCTCATGTTACTAGCACTGAAAGTTTGTAGTAGAGGGTACAAACGGGCGAGAGGGAAAGGATCCCAAGTCTCTAATGAAAGGAGTGAACGGGTGCTGAGAGCTCGATTGCTGCTCAGCCGAGTGCTTGTGTCATGCTTCTTGTGTCGATCTTGATTGATCGATTTTAATCAGATCGCCCCCCCTTCATGGGACGTCCAGCTTTCCTTTTTATAGGCTAAGGGAAAGCACGAGTTACAGCGGAGGAAAAGAGAAGAACAAGAGAGAAGAAGTCCTTCAGGATCGCCGGGTCCTTCTCATCCTTCATGCGGGTCCCGCTGACCCTATAGATGTCAACAGGGACAGCTCCACGTCGCGGCCCTGTCCATTACTAGCGCCATGCGTAGACGTTGTCTGTCGGTCATGGCGTTCCATTCCGTCGCAGCGGACGTCGTGGTGGTGTTGGACGCTTTCGTCGTCAGACAGAGGTTGAAGGTTAAGCGAAAACGGCACCACCATTCGCCCTCGCCTGTTCTTGATGTGAATCCTCAGGTATGGCCCGTCATGGCCACGGGTTACATCGGGGCGTGTCGGTCTCTTCCTTAGTGTCAGAGTTTTGACCTAGGCCCACACGCTTGGACCTAGAGTGGTTGACGGTGGTATGGGTCCCCGTCAGGCGAGACGGAGCCCGGGGCCTCGAGGTCAGGCGAGGCGGAGCCCGCGGCCTCGGGGTCGGGCGAGGCGGAACCCGTCCTCAGAGGTCGGGCGAGGCGGAACACGAACCCAAGGGTCGGGTGAGGCGGAGCCCGCGGCCTCAGGGTCGGGCGAGGTGGAGCCCAAACCCAAGGGTCAAGGCGAAGTGAGCCTCTGGCATTAGGGTCAGGCGTGCGGCCCATGGCCTTGGGGTCGGGCAAGGCGAAGCCCGTGGCCTCGGGTCAGGCGAGTCAGAGCCTTGGCCAGTAGTCGCTCTCTTGACCGCTTTCGGATGAATCAATATTGATGGTCATTAGCTCCTCTTGGTACCCTAGTATTGGTCCCCGATAATAGCCCCCCGAGCACGTGGAGGAGTATAATACTCCTTCTGGAGGCTTTTCCAAACGGGAGGACTCTAAGGGCCTTGGCCTTTTCTTGTCGCCCACGACGTGTCCTGGGGACAGCGATTCCCTTTCGTCGTGATCGGGCCTCTTGGGGGTATAGCCGTGAGATTTGGTGGGTCGAAAAAGGTCTTTCCTGATTTCGACCCCTACGGGGGTCTGTCGTTCTGCGACCGTGCGTTTGGTCTCCTTGCAAGTCCAACTTTTCTCGAGCCCCCGCACGTAGCAGGGGTCCGGTCGAGGGTCGGCTCGTCTTCGTGATCGTCTTTCCTCAAGCGTTTTTTCCGATAAAAACGGAGGGGCTGAGCCGTGCCATGATTTTCCTCTATGGACGAGCCATGATGCTCGGTGAGTTGTTAACGGGCTAGTCCGAGTGGGGCCCTGGCATCCCGTTCGCGGGGGTCCGACCTGGGTCAGCTGGTGACCAACTCTAGATTCTCAGCGGTCAATCCATATAGTTCTCAGGTCCGTTCGATCGGTCCCGAGGGCTCTCTGCCATTCTTCGAGGAAAAAACATGGATCGTATCCGTCCGAGGCTCGAACGTGGGCTGGGACGCCCGCGGTGCTCGTGTGCCCAGGTATTGGCCACTAGCGGGCCCATCCCT